TGATTTTTTGATTTATTGTAGAGATGAGGTCTCGCTGCCCAGGTGGGTCTCGAACCCATGTGTTCAGGCAATCCACTCACCTCAGCCTCCCAAAGGCGCAGGATTATAGGCTGAGCCACCAAGCCCGGCTCATTTCTCACTTTTCATCTAGTACTTTAATGGTTTCATTTTAAATATTTAAATATTTGCTCTGTCTAAAGTTTAAGTAAGGAATAAGATAAGGGTCCAACTTTATATTTTTTCTAGGTAGTTACCCACTTATCTCTATAGACAGTATTGAAACTTCCTTCAATGGTGGCAAAAGTTACTTTTATCGTATCCTAATATTCTATGTTTTTTAGTTCATTTGCATTTATTTAATATAAATAAATTATTTATTTAATATAAATAAATGCAAATGAACTATATATATGTTGTGTTTTTTTAAAGCAAGATTTATTAAAAGAACAGAAAAGCTCCTATAGTGGAGGGGATCCGAAGGGGTTGCCCTATTTAATGTCTGATTCATTAATCCTCCCATTACTCTTTCAGAATTATCCTGGTAATGTCAAAAATATTAAAAATATGTGTTGTAGAATCAGTTTTTCATTTAAAAAAAAAACACCTTGCTGGTACTTTTATTATGACAGCACTAAATTTATAGACTAATTCAAGGAAAACTGGCATCCTCTTGAGTAACCCAAGTTGTCTTTTGGGTCCCAATAGCAGTTTAACATTTTTTTAGATGAGTCTTGTATGTTTCTTTTTAAATTTTTTCTAAAGAGTGATGGACAGATGAAAGGTTGACACATCACCTGTTGGGTACAATGTGCACAGGTGGGGGAGGTGGTACACTTAAAGCCCAGGCTTTTTTTGCCACTACACAATGTGTCCATGAAACCAAAAACCACTTGGAACCCCTAGAGCTACTGAAATAAAAATGCAAAAAATTAAAAAATAAAAATAAATTTCTTCTAAGAACTTATTAAAGAATCTAAATTGGGCCAGGTATAGTGGTTCACACCTGTAATCCCAGCACTTTGGGAGGCAGAGGCGAGAGAATTGCCTGAGTCCAGAAGTTTGAGACCAGCTTGGGCAACTTGGCAAAACCTTGTTTCCACAATAAATAAAAAAAATTAGCTAGGCATGGTGGCACATGCCTGTGGTTTCAGCTATGTGGAAGGATCACCTGAGCCCAGCAGGTTGAGGCTACAGTGACCGTGAGCGTGCCATTGCACTCCAGCCTGGGAGACAAAGTGAGACTCCAACTCAAAAAAAAAAAAGAATCTAAATTGGGCTGGGCATGGTGGCTCACGTCTGTGATCCCAGCACTCTGGAAGGCAGAGGCAAGAGGATTGCCTGAGTCCAAGAGAACAGCCTGGGCAACTTGGAGAGACTTCATCTCTACAATAAATCCAAAATTAGCTGGGCATGATGGCACACGCCTATGGTTCTAGCTACTTGAAAGGCTGAGGTAGAAGGATCACCTGAGCCTAGCAGGTCGAGGCTGCAGTGGCCTTGATCATGCCACTGTACTTCAGCCTGGACAACAGAGTGAGACTCTAACTAAAAAAAATAAATCTAAATTTAATAATATTTTTCTCTGTCCCTGTGACTTCAGTTTTAACTCTAATATTCAGTAGTTATTCAAAGCAAACAGAAATTTAGAGTCCTGTTTTGAATAAAAACTCACACTATCTTGTGGGCACACTCATTTCTAGACTCTCTGCTTTAAGTATTTGGCTATCCCTAGATGAAATCCACATGTAAGAGCCATGAGATATAGAATCACTTTTCTTCTAATGATACGGTCTTTAAGAAGCAATTCATAACCACATGTTGCACTTAAAAAATACATATTTAAATTACATAAAGTATGTAATTTTCCCCATAATGCAACAAACAGGCTGATTTTAACTGAAAACACCCATGTAGCATAGAAAAAAGTAGAAAAAAAACTAAAACCTTTCACATTTGTGAGGTTGAACGTTTTTAAAACTAGACACAGTTGCTCTTACCGACACAGGATTCCTACAATGTTGCGAACCAGAGAGCCGTGCAGCAAGGGCCTCACATTGCCAAGTTGGCTAAAAAACTCTGTGGTTTCATTCACTCTGCCGACTCTAAATATCTGCAAGATATCCACTGGACTTTCACTGTAAGAATTAGAAGAAAAAACTTGAGATTACATAATGAGAAACAAAACAGAAAATCATCAGCAAAGGAAATCCCAAAACAATCTAAATGTCCATAGTCAGGGAACAGATTCAATACATCACAACACAGCATATCTTGGAAATCCTATGCAACCATTAATGAATCACATTCTTAAAAAAATAAAGGTATGCAGTAAAGCTCACAGTAAAATATAACATTGAAAAGTAGATTTTTTTTTTTTTTTTGCGTTGGAGTCTCATTCTGTTGCCCAGACTGGAGTGCAGTGGCCGCTCCCAGACACCGCAGCCTCGACCTGCTGGGCTCCGGCGATCCTTCCGCCTCAACCTTCCAAGTAGCTGGAATTACAGGTGCGCGCTACCACGCCCGGCTAATTTTTTGATTTATTGTAGAGATGAGGTCTCGCCAAGTTGCCCAGGTGGGTCTCGAACCAATGGGCTAAGGCAATCCATTCACCTCAGCCACCCAAGGCATGAGATTACTGGCTGAGCCACCGAGACCAACGAAAAGTAGATTATAGCCAGGCACAGTGGCTCACACCTATAATCCCAGCACTTTGGGAGGCCGAGGTAAGAGGATTGCCTGAGCCCAGAGGTTTAAGACCAACCTGGGCAACTTGGCAAAACCTTATCTCTACTGTAAATTAAAAAATTAGTTGGGTGTGGTGGCATGTGCCTGTAGTTCCAGCTACTTGGAAAGCTCAAATAGAAGGATTGCCTGAGCCCAGCAGGTCAAGGCTGCGGTAGCTGTGAGCGTGCTACTGCACTCCACCTGGGTGAGACTCTGACTCAAAAAAAAAAAAAGAAAGAAAGAAAGAAGGAAAGAAGGAAAGAAAGAAAGAAAGAAAGAAAGAAAGAAAGAAAGAAAGAAAGAAAAGTGGATTATAAAACTTTATACACAATATGATCTCAAATTTTATCAAGTACATATAGAATATATGGTTTCATTCGTATGTATGAATAAAATGAATGTACCTATTCAATCTGTTTTAATACATATATAAAATGAAACTAAATTCAATGTTTTCATATGTACATATGAAATGAAACTGTACTCAATTTGTTTCATATATATGAAAACAGACTTAATAGGTTCATTCATTCATGCATACATTCATTGAACAAACACAATCTATGTGGAATATCTGCCAGGCATTGGAAATAAGATCACATGGTGCTGGCTTTGTGGAGTTCACATTCTAATGAGAGAAACAAAAACTAAGACATTATCAAACACCTTAAGCGCTACTAAGGAAACCAACCAGGTTCAGAGAGAGGGAAGTCAAGAAAAACCTCTCTTGGGAGGTGACATTTATTGGAAAATGGCAGAATATAGGGTATATTTTAGGATCTAACCAGTTATTATAGGAAAATGGGTTGGATGAGGCAGGAGTGGGAAAGGACATCAGAAGGATGTTGTTGCAGCAGAGTGTGAAAGGGAAAAGAAGCAGCCTCTGCCCCTGGGATTGTAAGGGGAGGGATGAAAGAAATGGCTCCAGCCTTAAGGCGTTACTCCCTTCCTGGAGGTTTTTCTTTGAAGGTTTCTCCTCTGTAAACATTGCAAGATAAATTGTATCTTTACCCACTACACCTGTCTAATTAGCACATCTGCTTCTGTAAACTCGCTAGCTTGCTGATGTCAGCAGAATATTGCGATAAGCGTTCTGGAAAATGTCAAACTCTAACTTTAGCTAACCAAGATGTAAGCTAGGACTACTTAAGGGCGCTCTGAGCGGGGACTTGGGGCTGTCTTGCTTGAAATTCTCTTCCTGCAGGCGGTTGCCAGCTGGCAGAGCCTTGACTAATAAACTTCTTTGTTAAAATTAAGTCAGTGGGCTGTTATTTAATCGCTCGGACCCTACTTCAAGAGTAGACAGGAGAATGCAACCTGGCCAAAGACACAGCAGAATAAATGGAAAGAAGTCATAGGGTGAAGGAGACTCCAGGGCACAACGGGAGAGGGAGAGAGGTCTGAGGGACAGGAAGACTCCATGGCTCTGGGTGTGGCTAAGAGGGGGCAACACAGAAAGAGACAGGGTACTGCTAAGGCCCAGTGCTGTAGGGGAAGAAAGAGCCATCAGAGCCCACTGTGCCATCCTCCCAGCCCCACGTTTGGGGGTGCCATGTTGGTACCCCGACATTAGCTTCAATGGGAGCATTTGCTCCCCAGAAATCAGCAAACATTACAGATCAGGACTACTACAGACCAGCAACTAGCCCACCAGCACATCACTGGGTGAGATGAATCAGGAATTCAGTCTGGTGTGTGCTCTACACCAGAACCTTAACAGAAGTCATATTATCTCTGGGCTATCTACGGGTAGTGATTTTTAATTTACTTCCTATTTTTACATATTTTCTAAGCATTTAGCAAAGAACATGACAGTTATAGCTAGAAAAAACAATATGAAGAAATCATTATTTGGGAAATGAAAATGGAGAAAATCTAATTTTTCACAGCAGTGGGCTCTCTCCCTAGGGAGGGACCCACTTTCGTTGGGAGGGCAGGCTTGGGCTGCACTGAAGGGCTGAGCTGCAGCTCCACCATACCAGCCTTGGCATGGCTCTTCTTTCCCATCTTCCCTGGAGAAAGCCACTCATTCCCCCTCCTGATTCTATTTTCATTGTCACTATGCTTCTAATTAGTATTGGATCTCAGCAGGCACCTAGGAGAGGGTCAAACATCAAGTCAAAAGACATTAAAACATTTTGATTACATACAAAAACAAAAGCCGGAGAAGGTCTGTAGGAATGGGTTTTTAGAAATTGAAGTGAAATGCATATCACATAAAATTAGCCATTAAGGGTACAATTCAGCGGTACTTGGTACAGTTGACCCTTGAACAACATGAGCTTGAACTTCAGGGGTCCACCTTCATGTAGATTTTCTGCCACCTGTGAGACAGCAAGACCAACCCCTCCTCTTCCTCATTCTCAGGCTACCACAAGGATGAAGGCCATCATGACGATCCACTTGCACCAATGGATGGTAAAAATATTTTATCTTCCTTATGGGTTTCTTCACAACATTTTATTTTCTCTAGCTTACTTCATTTTAAGTATATAGTAATCTAATACATATAACATACAGAATACATATTGTTTATGTTGTTGGTAAGGCTCCTGGTCAATAGATGGCTATTAGTAGCAACGTTTTTGGGGAGTCAAAAGTCACACAGAAATTTTTGACTGTGCAGGGGATTGGCCTCCCTAAACCCCATGTTATTCAAGGGTCAACTGTACATTCAGAATGCTGTGCAACCAATCTCTCTATCCAATTCTAAAAGATTTTCATTACCCCCAAAAGAAAACCCCATACCTGTTTAGCAGTCAGTTCCCATTCCTCCGTCCCAACAGCACAAGGCAATTTGCTTTCTGGCACCATGGATTTATCTATTCTAGATACTTCATGTAAATGGAATCACACAATATGTGGCTTTTTTCACTTAGCATAACATTTCTGAGCATGTAATGATACATGTTGTAGCATGTGTCAATACTCAATTCCTTTGTATGGCTGAATAATATTCCATCATATGTATATACTACATTATGTTTATCATCTCCTCTGTTGATAGACATTTGAGCTGTTTCCGCCTTTTGGTTATTATGAGTAATGCTGCCACAAACATTCATGTACAAGTACCTGTTTGAGTATTGTTTTCGGCTCCTTGGGTACATAATCAGGAGTGGAACTGCTGGGTCATATTGTAATTCTATGTTTAATTTGTTGAGGAATCACCAACAGTGGCCGTACCATATTTCATTCCTATCAGCAATGTGTGAAGTTTCCAGTCTCTACATCCTCATCAGCACTTATAATTTTCCATTAAAAACATTATAGTTAGCCGGGCTCAGTGGCTCAGCCTGTAATTCTGTGCCTTTGGGAGGCTGAGGTGAGTGGATTGCCTGAGCCTATGGGTTCGAGACCCACCTGGGCAGCGAGACCTCATCTCCACAATAAATCTAAAAATCAGTTGGGCGTGGTAGCACATGCCTGTAATTTCGGCTACTTGGAAGGCGGAGGTGGAAGGATCTCAGGAGCCCAGCAGGCGAGGCTGCGGTGGCTGGGAGCGGCCACTGCACTCCAGTCTGGAGGACTGAGTGAGACTCCAACTCAAAACAAAAACAAAAACAAAAACATTATAGCCTAGCCGGGCTCGGCGGCTCAGCCTGT